TTTTATGCTATTTGTGGCTATCGTGAAAGGTGATGCTTCTCTGATTTCCCTCTCTGCTTCCTTATCCTTGGTGTATAGGAAGGCAACTGATTTTTTGGAGTTGATCTTGTATCCTGCCACGTTACTAAAGCTGTTTATCAGCTGTAGGAGTTCTTTGGTAGAATTTTTGGGGTCGCTTATGTACACTATCATATCATCTGCAAATAACGAAAGCTTAACTTCTTCCTTTCCAATACGAATCCCCTTGATCTCCTTATGTTGTCTTATTGCTATTGCTAGAATTTCAAGCACTATATTGAAGAGGTATGGAGAGAGTGGACATCCTTGTCGTGTTCCTGATTTTAGTGGGATGGCTTTGAGTTTTTCTCCGTTTAATTTAATGTTAGCTGTTGGCTTGCTGTAAATAGCTTTTATTATATTTAGGTAGGACCCTTGTATCCCTATTCTCTCCAAGACCTTTATCATAAAGGGGTGTTGAATTTTGTCGAATGCTTTTTCAGCATCTAGTGAAATGATCATATGGTTTTTTTCTTTCAGTTTATTTATATGGTGGATTACATTGATAGATTTGCGTATGTTGAACCAGCCCTGCATCTCTGGGATGAAGCCTACTTGATCATAATGGATAATTTTTCTTATGTGTTCTTGGATTCGGTTTGCCAGTATTTTATTGAAAATTTTGCGTTGATGTTCATGAGTGAGATCGGTCTGTAATTCTCTTTCTTGGTTGGGTCTTTTTGTGGTTTTGGTATCAGGGTAACTGTAGCTTCATAAAAGGAATTTGGCAATGACTCTTCTGATTCTATATTGTGAAATACATTAAGGAGTATAGGTATTAGTTCTTCTTGGAAGTTCTGGTAGAATTCTGCATTGAAACCATCTGGTCCTGGGCTTTTTTTCGAAGGGAGATTTTTGATAACCATTTCTAATTCTTCGCGAGAAACCGGTCTATTTAGATCATTCACCTGGTCTTGGTTTAGCTTTGGTATATGATACTTATTTAAAAAAATGTCCATTTCTTTTGTATTTTCCAGTTTTGTGGCATACAGGCTTTTGTAGTAAGATCTAATGATTCTCTGAATTTCCTCTGTGTCTGTGGTTATGTCCCCCTTTTCATTTCTGATCTTATTTATTTGCGTGTTCTCTCTCTGTCGTTTAATTAGTTTGGATAGGGGTTTGTCGATCTTGTTGATTTTCTCCAAGAACCAGCTTTTTGTTTCATTGATTCTTTGGACTGTTTTCTGTGTTTCTATTTTGTTGATTTCAGCCCTCAGTTTTATTATTTCCAGTCTTCTACTTCTCCTGGGCGCGTCTGCTTCTTTTTTTTCTAGAGCTTTCAGGTGTGTTTTTAAGTCCCCAATGTATGCATTCTCCGTTTTCTTTAAGTGGGCACTTAGTGCTATGAACTTTCCTCTTAGCACTGCTTTCATTGTGTCCCATAGGTTTGAGTATGTTGTCCCTTTATTTTCATTAAATTCAAGGAAGACTTTAATTTCTTTCTTGATTTCTTCCTTGACCCAGGTGTGGTTCAGTAGTTGACTGTTCAGTTTCCATGAGTTTGTCGGTTTTTTGGGGGCAGCGTGGTTGTTGCCTTCTAACTTTAATCCGTGATGATCTGATAAGACACAGGTGGACACTGATATATTTTTGTATCTGTGGAGGTTTCCTTTGTTTCCGAGTATGTGGTCAATTTTTGAGAAGGTTCCATGAGCTGCAGAGAAGAAGGTATATTCTTTCCTATTTGGGTGGAATGTTCTATAGATGTCTGTTAAGTCCATTTCCTTCATTACCTCCAATAATTCTCTTAATTCTCTATTAGGTTTCTGTCTGATTGACCTGTCCCTTGGAGAGAGAGGTGTGTTGAAGTCTCCTACTACTAGTGTGTGTGGTTTGATGTCTGCCTTGAGTTCTAGTAATATTTCTTTTACATAAGTAGGTGCTTTTATATTGGGGGCGTATATATTCAGGATTGAGATGTCCTCCTGATGAATTGTTCCTGTTATGAGTATAAAGTGACCGTCTCGGTCTCTTCTGATTGATTTTAGTTTGAAGTCAGTTTTGTTAGAAATTAGTATGGCCACACCTGCTTTTTTCTTAGGACCATTTGCTTGAAACACCTTTTCCCAACCCTTTACTCTGAGTAGGTGCCTGTCTTTGTGGTTGAGATGTGTTTCTTGCAAACAGCAGAATGTTGGATCCTGTTTTCGTATCCAATCTTTTAGCCTGTGCCTTTTTATAGGTGAATTGAGCCCATTAATATTAAGTGATATTAATGACCAGTGGTTGTTTACTCCGGTTATTCTTATTGCTTTTGGTTGTAGAGATTGTGTGTCTCCCTTCTTTGAGATGTGCTTGTGAAGGGTCATTAGATGCCTTATCCAGAGAAATTAATCATGAGGTCAAGAAAAATAGTAGCATGGATAGATAAAATGGTTTGGAGTTTGGTATCTGCCTCTGAGCCTGAACAGAGGCTTCCAGAAAAAAAAAAAATCATAGCCTCTCTGGTTTAGGACATTCTGACACCCTGTATCTGGGGACCCTCAGAGTTGCCTTGTTTCATGACCTGCTCATACCACAATCCCTTGTAGGGGAGAGGACTCTGCAGTGTGGAGAATGACACAGAAGATTATGACCTACTCGTTGAGATACTTATTTGCTTGCTTGTTTAATTTGAGAAGGGTCTCTGTATGTAGCCCCAGCTGTCCTGGAACTCACCTTGTAGGCCAGGCTGAACCAAGATACAGGCAGTTCCCAAGCCTAGAGAGGACATTCCTGGTGCCCTCAATGGAGTGCCCTCTGCTGGTGGTGATAGGTTAGAGCTTCTTGGTGGACTTACAGTAGGCAGGAAAGACTGTCAAACTCAGAAATTCACCTGCCTCTGCTTTCCAAGTGCTGGGATTAAAGGTGTGAATCATCACACCTATATTTTTAAACAGTGTTTGTTCACATACATGGCTAGTAGTCTAGTTTCTTCTCTGTTCTTTTATTTATTTTTTATTTTATTGTGTGAACAGAAGCTGCTTGCCCATTTCCCAGCCTATTAATATCACAAAATAATCACACTGAAACTGTATTAATTGCAATTCTGTTTGGCCTATTAGATTATGCATATTTCTAAGTGCTCTTAGATTTTAAATTAACCCATTTCTATTAATCTGTGTATTGCCACATGATTGTGGTTTATTTGTAAATTTCTATCCAGTGTCTGTCTCCTATGGTGGTTACGTGACTTCCCTCTGACTCTACCTATTCTCTCTATATGTATCTCTTCTAGCCTGGGTATATTCTGTTAAGTCATTGACCAAGAGAGGTTTCTTTATTAACCAATGGTATCCACAGCATACAGAGAGGAATCCCACATTATTATTACTATATATTCTTATTTATTCATTTATTAAGCACAGTACATATTTATTTTTCATTGTGTGCTAGATTTATTTATTTTATTTTATGTGTGGCTACTTTGCCTGCATGTATTGTATGTGTACAGTATGCATGCAAAAATTTTTTTTAAAAAAGGTGTCAAATCCCCTGGAACTGGAATTAGAGATGGTTCTGAGCTACCATGTTGGTGCTTAAAATCAAATCCAGGTCCTCTACATTATAGCTGTGCTTTTTACCACTGAGCAATCTCTCCAGCTCAGATTATGATGATTTTATATGTGTATGTTAATAGTTCTGCCTTTCTGAGTCCCGCCAAATTAACACCATCCAGTTTTCCCTTCAAGAGAGGATTTCTTATTGGGCTTTTTTCAGGGGAAGGATGTTTGTTTTAACAAACACGCATACTGAAACTGTTTCTTTTGTTGTTTTTGTTTCTTTTGTTTTCTTTCAGCCCATTATATATTTTGAAGATGCACCATCAAGATAAAAAAGAAAGTTGGAATAATATATAATATAATGATAATTTTTTTAAAAAATGAGACACTATAATCCCCTAGTGATCCTCTGAATATTTTGCTTTTCTTTTCTCTTCTTTTCTTCTTAACAAAATAAGTATAATAAGATAAAAACATCACATTGAAGTTGGACAAAAAAAACCAACAGAAGGAAAAGAGCCCAAGAGAAGGCACAAAAATCAAAGCTCCACTCGTTCAACTACTCAGGAGATGGATAAAACCACTAAACTGAAAGCCATAATAAATATGCAGAGGACCTGTTACAGACCTCTGCAGGCCCTGTGCCTGGTGCTTCAGTCTCCGTAAGTTCATATGAGTATCTCTCTTTTTTAGTTAGTATTTTAATTTATTTTTGAAATTGTCACAGATATAAAAAACTTGGTGTGTTTGGGTTCTATCTCTCAAATGCCCCTCTCCAACTCCTCAGGGGCTCTACCATTTATTATTTGTCTCACTCCAGACTTCATGTCTTTTGCAGGAAAGTGGGCTGTTTTTTTGAGATAGATTCTCACTATGTGGCTTTGGCTGGCCTGGAACACACTATGTATACCAGGATGGCCTAAAATTCACAAAGACCTGCCTGCCTTTGACTCCTAAAGTACCAAGAGTAAAGGTGTATGCCACTGTGTCCTGCAATGTTCCCTTTCTAAATTACTAGTGTTGGTTATTGTTGCTGTTGATAGCTCTCTAAGTCTAATTAGTTTTGACCATATTTGCATGGGTATGGGAGTATTGAACCTGACCCTGTGTGGGGAAGAGACACTGACAAATAGCATGTAATAGTGATTCATTGTTCTCCTGCTCCATGTGCACAAATACAATCATGTACAAATGTGTGTGTGTGCATATTTGCATGTATGACTCTGCCTGTATGACCTTGTGTGTAAGTGTGTATAGGTACAACTGCTCTGTCCACTCTTAGCCTCCCCTCCCCCCTGATTCCTCTTTCCTCTTCCAAACAGTGACCCAAAGTTCAGTCATCAGTGTCTAAGTCAGACCATCCAGTGGGAGGCGGCAGCTGTGCTGACTATTTGTGCTGATGGCTACACACAACAGCACACCAAGCCCTGATAGTACATACTTCAGTAAGCACAGTCTTAATCAACTATACATATATTTTAATCAAGAAAGACATCATAAGCATCCGTTGTAGCCCCCATTTCTCCCCTCATTTATGAAACCAATAAAGGCAGAATTTTGGTTCTCAGGGGCTGTGTGTTCAAGACCAGCACAGATTGTAGATGTTCCATCTTCAGAAATACCCATCATGCACCCTTGATGTTCCATCTTCAAAACTTCCCATGATGCATACCATGAAGCCTGATGCAGAGAAGCATCTTAGCTCTCAGCTGCATGAGTACAATCCAGCCAGAGCCAGCAGGGGATCCAAGGAAGCCTTTAGAGTTCACTGGGCACATTGCAAAATGGGGGTGTAGAAGGAGAGAAATCATGCTGTTCATTAAATAATCTGGACTATGGAAGAGTCTGAAGAAACAGGTAAGGGGCTCTAACTGTGTCTCTGAAAACAACTAGGTGATTATAAAGGGGCTTTGAAGCTTACTGCAACACAGTCTTTTCCAAGGACTGATACTACCACCTACACAATACAGCTCCTAGATGGGGAACAGGGGTTTCTAGGGTCCAGTTTCTGCCTCAAGCAGGACTGGTTGGCTAGCTTTCCACACCAGGTTGATTCCAAAAGGAACCTTTTAATGGCTGCTTTGGGTTTTTCCAATAGTGACTATGTGTGTCTCCAGGTGTGCCCAGGCTCAGCGTCTGATGATGGCTGCATATGTGCTGGACTCAGTCATGGTTTCTGTGCTCCGTGGGGTCACATCTCCAACTGTCCTCTGTGTGAGGGCATGATGGTCCAGCTGGGCATATGTCACCTCCTGAAGACCTCCTGCATCAGGGATCTAAGAGAGAGAGGCCCAGGAGAGTTAGAGTGGCTGTGGGGGTGGAGGTGCTGAGGAGTGGGAAGTTACCTGCAATGGCTCTATGAGTTATAGTTATGGTATCCTGTGGTTTCCCTCCCAATGGTGTTCAGGTGGGATTACATTACTTATAGACAAGGCAGAAGTAATTTTTCTTATCTTGGATGCTCTCTCTGGGGAAAGTTAGCTGCTGTGGAGAGCTCTCCTGTCTGTAGCCATTGGAATACATCAATCGGGTCAAGGCCTGAAGTGGCGGCAGAATCTTTCTGAATGCTTCTGCTTCAAGGTTCATTACACAAGAGTCCAAAGCCTTGTTACTAAGCTGCTAATTTGGGAGCATTTTGTTAGTTATCACTAGATCATGACTACAAAAACCTACCAAGGTTTCTGTTCTTTTGTCCTCAGGAAGCAAGTCATCTGTGACTATGTCTATAGAAAAGAAGACATAAGATAAGTTCTCTTTGGTAGACACTAGGAGACAATATGACCACATTATATCTCATCCCAACTAGAACCCTCTACTATGTTCCTGAATGTTTCCCTTCCCCGTTGCTTCTCAGTAAACTAGGTAACCCCTTCCTTTCTCCTCACATTCCTTACCTGGTGTGCTCTCCAGGCCATTAGTAACTAGGCTGAGCCTAAGGGGAAAGGATAGATGAATATTGGAGACTATTTGGGGGCAAAGGACTGGGCAAGGACATGGGAGTCATTCCTGGACCTTACCTCTTTTGCAGACTGTGCTCCTGGCTCTTGCTGTTTGGGAGCCCTAAGAATAGTTAGTAGTCCATGTTTAGGAGAGATATCTTATTTGCAGTACTCCCACCAGTCCACCAAAGCCAAGTGTCACAACAGATACCTACCTTGCTTTTTCTGACGGTGGCTGTGGAAGCAGAAGAGAAGGAAGAGGAGAAGACAAAGGAGGAAGACCACAGCAACCCCAATGAGAACATAAATGATGTTTGTCTTCAGCCAGGATGTGTCTAGGAAAGATGGTAACCAGGTTAACAGCAACATGCATTTATTGAATGTCCACTGCATAGCACACACATACTGGGTGGTGTTCATGAATGTGTTAATATGTAAAATTTTCACATGCATAGTAGTCTGGAAACATTTAATCATTATCTTCATGTTACCCATCAAAAATATTGACCTTCCTTGTGCTCTGGAACACACTAGCCGCTGGTAGAGCCATTTAATGACTCAGCAGCCATATGTAACTAATAACATCCACTCTGGTTCCCACAGATAAGAGCCCTCACCTCGTGATTGAAGTCATGTAGGAGAACATTGTCCACCACACTATGTAGAGCTTTGCTGAGACTGACAACCAACAAGAAAGGAAGCAGGGCTCCCTCAGCACAGTCCCACTTGGGCTCCCACTGAGGTCAAGAATCCTCATCTCTATATGTTCCTCAGGGTAGCCACTGATAGGAAGGAACTCAGTCCCAATGTTGTCTTGTTGCCTGGTTCCCTGCAGACAATGCTGCCCTTGCAGCATTTAGTGTCCATCCTTTCCTCTCCTATAACATTTACCTTTCTCTATCCATTCACTCACTGTACCACCTCACAGGCAACCACCCAAGGTGGACCCCACCTGTCCCCTCTTCTTAGATGGTACCCATTTCCCTTCCTTACTCCTCAGGCAGACTCTTCAATGTCCTTTAAAGAAAGTCAGATAATATCCCTTTAGAGGCTCTTCCCTTAACACCCGGCCTGCCCATGTCCAATTCAGGACCTTACCTGCTATTCTGTCCTTCCATGTATCTTATTGCAACTTAATTATATACATTGTATGCACACCCATGGTATATTTATAGTTATATGTTCCATATGCAAACAGAGTTACACGTGGCGTGTCATGATGTTACAATTAACCATGGACCTTTGGTAAGATGGTAACTAAGCTGAAACCTTTCTGTGCTTTTTTGGCATTGTGCTTGCCCTTAAGTTTTGGTTGCCTGCAGCATTCAGAATAGCATTTGTGCCGGACTGCAGTCTAGAAGTTGCTTGCTCTATACACCATATGGTCAGGTATGCAGGGGATTCTGCCTTCTAAGCTGGCTTAAATAACATCTTGTTCATACTATGACACAATGGGCTACCACTGATGCAATTTTCTCAGAACACAGGTGTCACATGACCACGTGGCCTATGGACATATATCCCAGAACAAAGGACCATTCTTAAGTGACAGTTGGCAGTATATTCATACGTAATGTAAATAAGCACAGCTAAGGGGCTGTAGATATGAATGGAGGAGTAAAGCATTTGGTGTGCAAGAGTGAGGACCAGTGTTTGGATCCCCAGAACCTACAGCAAAAGTCAAGTGGACATGACAGGCAGAATGTAATCCAAGTGCACAGGAGACAGAGAAAGGGAATCTGTTGAGCAATCTGGCTAAGCAGACTAGCTGAAACAGTGAACCTTAGGGTCAATCAGAGATCGCACCTCAATGTGGAAGGTGGAGAACACTCCAGAAAGACATTCAGCATCAGACATAGACCTACACACACATAGAAGCATGTATGTGAGCCAGCACCCGAGAACATGTAGTACACAACATGCATTCCTATACAAAAAAGCCAGAAAGCAAATTTGAAATAAAATATTACTTTCTATCACATAAATTAATATATAAATAACATTTATGTTATCTTCTAAACACAAATTATACATTGCTGTCCTAATAAATGATGTGTACATATATTGTGTTATACTAATAAATGATTTTTGTTAAGCTATAAATTACAAATATGAAATAGCATGTGATATTATTTAAAATTGACTAACTTGCATTATATTCATGTGAAAAGATACATTGTGTTGTTACATCAATAATATTGTTTATTTTAATTATAAGAAAATTACATAATTCAATATAAATTTAGTTTTAGATCTGAAATTTTAATGTGTTTCTGTCATTCATTTTAATTATCTCTTCAGTATGCCCACAACGGCAGGGCCATTTTTCTTCCCCTGCTGTGAGTGTCTAGTTTGACTCAGTTTCTAACTGGTATGTTTAAAACAAGAGAATATTGTTTAAAAAGTCAGAAACAGGATGGTGATCCAGTATGTTCAGCTAGGAAGCTCATCATGACATGTCCCATCACAACAGCACAGAAAAGGGCTCCGCCAGAAAAATCACCTTGCTACTCTCTATATTCCCTTCCTCTATGTCTCTGTCCACCATCCCAGCTGCCTGAACTCAGAGCTTGACTTCACAGTAGCACAGCCTAGATCAGAGAGACCACGATGACTCAGGGCCACATCTCCTCCCTACATGGTTGTAGATATGGAACTCAGGGAGCTGCACAATCTGACGGCTTGAGACACAAGGAGTGAAAAAAGCTCATTTTACATCCCACAGCAGCTCAGACTGACTGTCTTTCACAAACCACGCCCTTCCCAAGGCACTTTCCTTGCAGGGATCCTTCCATCTTTGTCAGGCACAGACAGTGAAAAAGTCCATTTAGCTGGCATGGAGCCTGCGCTGGCAAGGAGAGACCTCATCTGCGGGATTGCACAGAGTAATGGGAGCTGAAGAGATGGCTCAGTGGGTAAGAGCATTGTCTGCTCTTCCAAAGGTATGTAGTTCAATTCCCAGCAACCACGTGGTGGTTCACAACCATCTGCAATGAGATCTGGCTCCTGGTCAGTCTTCCTCATTATCTTAGATCATGAAACCCCAAAAAGGACAGGAGAAGAGGGGGAGAGGAGAGGGAAGGAGAACTTGAGGGAGTGGGATAGTCAAGATGGGGGAAGAATTGAGACAGCAAGGAAAGAGATATCTCAATTGAGGGACCCATTATGGGGCTAGAAAGAAACTTGGCACTAGAGAAATTCTCAGGAATCATCACAAGGATGACCCCAGTTAAGACCCTAAGCAATAGTGGAGAAGATGCCCAAACTGGCCTTGCCCTGTAGTCAGATTGATGACTATCTTAAATATCACCATAACTGATGAGATAAAAGCAGTGGCAGAGACCTGCATTGGAGCACTGGGCTGAGCTCTGAAAATCCAGTCCAAGAGTAGGAGAAGTAAGAATATGAGCAAAGAGGTCAAATCATGATGGGGATACCCACTGAAACATCTTACCAGAGCTAATAGGAGCTCACCAACTCCAGCGGAACATGAAAAAATGGATCCTTCTAACTAGGACCAAAGTAGGCCTTCTAAATGTGGGTAACAGTTGTATGTCTGGGGCAAACTCCGGGGTCACTTGCTGTGGGACCAGAATTTATCTCTACTGCTTATTCTGACTTTTTAGAACCCATTCTCTTTAAATGGATACCTTGCTCAGCCCAGATATAGAAGGGAGGGCCTTGGTTCTTACTCAAAGCAATGTGCCTTACACTCTCTAAGAAGTGGATGGGGTAGGGTGGGGTAAAGATGGAAAGAATGGGAGGAGGGGGGGAGTGGGAACTGGGATTGGTATGTAAAATGAAAAAAAAAAGATTGTTTTTGTTCTAAAAATAAAATTAAATTTAAAAAAGAAATTTATCCCATTCCCCAAAGCTCTCCCCAATCCTCCCCTTCTCCCTTCTCTCTCCCCATCTCCCCTTCCCCCAACCCACTCCCACTCCCAACCCCCTGCTCCCAACTTTTGCCTGATGATCTTGTCAACTTCCAATATCCAGGAGGATGAATATATGTTTTTCTTTGGGTTCACCTCCTTATTTAGCTTCTCTAGGATCACAAACTATAGGCTCAATGTCCAATGTTTATGGCTAGAATCCGCTATGGGTGAACACATACCATATTCCTCTTTTTGGGTCTGAGTTATCTCACTCAGTAAAGTGTTTTCTATTTGCATCCATTTGTATGCAAATTTCAAGATATCATTGTTTTTTTGTTTTTTTGGTTTTTTTTTGTTTGTTTGTTTGTTTTCCGCTGAGTAGAACTCTAAAGTGTATATGTGCCACATCTTCTTTATCCATTCTTCTATTGAGGGGCACCTAGGTTGTTTCCGGGTTCTGGCGATTACAAATAGTGCTGCTATGAACATAGTTGAACAAATGCTTTCTGAATGTGTCTGACAATGAGGGCTTACTGAGAAGCCAAGGACAATAGCACTGAGTTTTGATTCTTCTGCATGGACTGGCTTTGTGGGAACCTAGTCTGTCTGGATGTTCACCTTCCTAGACTTGGATGGTTGGGGGAGGACCTTGGACTTTCCACAGAGCAGGAAACCCTGACTGCTCTTAGGACTGGAGAGGGAGGGGGAGAGGGAGTGGGGGGAGTAGTAGGGAAATGAGAAGAGGGGAGGAGGTGGAAATTTTTAATGATTAAATAAATAAATAAATAGAAAATTACAAAATGTAATGAGGCTCAAACCACAAGAGGGCAGTATAGACTTGTAGGAAACTGAAGTCTGGGGCATCGCTTCTGGAATTGCTTCTCTCCTGGAGTCTACAGATCTTGGTATCCTTGACCAAGAACGTTACTTTTCTCCATATTTAAAATATTCTGGGCATGTTGGGGGTATGCCGTTAATCCCAGAACTCAGGGGGCAAAGGCAGGAGGAGCGCTTTGAGTTCAGGTCAGCATGGTTTATGTTACAAGTTTCAGGACTTCAAGGGTTATATAGAGAGATCCTATCTCAAAATTAAACAACTACAAAAAACAAAAGAAAGAAGAGAAGAAAAATATTATTAATGACACTTTGATGACTGGCTCCAACATCAGAACACCAACCCAGCATATAACCTGTAATAAACTACAACACCAGCAATGAGGCAGGGTGAAGGATTAGGAGCTGATGAGGAGAGCTATGTAGGCCCCTTCTCCATCCTAAGTATTGATAGAAAGGGGGTGATTGGCTCCATCACTCAGCCACAGACCATGGGAAAGACCTGAAATGACAGGACAGGAAAAACTGAAAACATGGCAGAGCCCCTCTTAAATCATCCTGTTAGATATTGGTCCTTCCTTCTATTCCTACCTCACTCACTCTGCTTGGCCTCACAGAATAAGCACTGAGCAGCTCCTGGTAAGATGTGGGAAGACAAGGATATGGACTAGAACATTTTCTGTATCCTGACTCCATAGACTATTCCATATGAAAGAACCCACAAAAGAATAATCCAGGCCTGTCCACCAACCTTCTCTGGACCACATTAACTGCCTAGTGAGATGGTACCACTCCAGAAGAAATATATTCCTGCAGTCACCACAGGCTTTAACTCAGCAGAAAACCAGGATAAATCACCATGCCCAGTGAAAAAAAAACATGCATCACCTAGAGAAAACTCCCACCATTGATGGGGCTCAGTCAGTACCCAGTAATCAGGAACAACTCCGTGGTCTACCCGTAAGACTGTATCTAGTCATTCATGGTGTCTGGTTAGACTAAAGCTCCTGAAATCTGAGGTTTAAGGATAGATGAGATCTGTGCTGAAGGAGGTAGAAGGGGGGAGCATTAGGATTAGGAGAGATCAGGGGAAGTTGAGGCAGGGGAGAGAAGCTAGTGTTAGAGTCCAGAGACCTAGAAACAAACCTGAGACCACTCCTGGGACTGGGTCAGAAGTGTGGGTGACATCTTCACTGGTCACTTTCAGCTCCAGAGTCTTACTGCGTTGGGACCACTTAGATTCTTTTTCATAGAGACACTGATAAGATCCAGCAGTGTCTTCATTTACTGGGCCAAGATGGAATATAGCCTGTTTTTGAGAAGGCAAATCATTCTTCTTATCCTTTATTTTTGTGCTTCCCTTCTCCAGGCGGAATGTATCATATTCTACAGGGCTTGTGCACACAAACTTTGCAGAATGTCCTTGGGAAATCTCAAGGCCTGGATCAGCCGAAATGGAAGGACTCAGCAGAGATTCTAGGAGAGAAAGAGAGAGAGAGAGAGAGAGAGAGAGAGAGAGAGAGAGAGAGAGAGCAGAAATCTCACTGCACATGATGAAGACATTGTTATAACACAAAACCAATTGAGACACACCATTTTGTACTCTTACCAAATTTAGAGTTCTCCATGATCGAAGTGAAGCTTTATAACATCCCCACTTTCTACATGTATATGAATGCCCACCACATGACATTAAGGAACCCAAGTCTAAGCATGTGGTGGGTCTAGCAATGATTCATCCAAAGAAATGTCAGAACGTCACAGACTGGACTTGTCTGCTACAGAGCCCACTGCCTCCCTGGGAACTGCCTTATTCTAGGGACCTGTGCTTTTTCTGCCTTTATCTCCACCTTCTTTCCAGGGTGTTATTGGGGCTTTAAAATCTCACCTGCTTCAAACTGTCTGAATGTAAGGGCATCCCCATAAAACCACAGATAATTATACTTATGTCAAGAGACAAATTTAAAAAGCTCAACTTACCATGTTCAAGGTGATGTCTTGTACCTTGTGGAACAGCTGGATCAAATTAATCAATATGGATAAACTCACAAACTTACCTTTTGTGACAAATTCATGAATGCATAGTTACTAGCCATGCTATGTAATTGACTTCCTGCCCTTATCCATGTGTAATGAGATATTGTGCCCTTAGACAAACAGTTCCTAATCCTATCTCCTTTCTTCACTTTTTATTCATATATTTTTAATATCTTGTTCATCTTCTAGGGATGCCTTCCATGTTTCTATGGTTTCATACATACAAGAAACATAGTATCTTCAATTTGAAGGCAAATTATGGGAGGGAAGGCTGATTTGAGAGAATAATTGTCTGAGAAGGTGGCAGAAAGATTATGATGAATGTAAGGGGTGAGCATAGGAATCTCAAGAGACAGGTGAGATCAGAGGAATACTTCCCAAGGTGAGACAGAAGAGATACTTGCACTGAAACCCGAGAGACAGAATATAAATATATACCATTGTTATTTGTTGATTAAAAACACTTTTAATCAAAAAAAAACAAAGGAAAGTAGGTGGCAAAAGGAAGAGGTGATGTCTGCATATTTGGGAGTGTTTATGATTACAGGGGATATTCAAGGATCTCCCCCCAGGTCTCCCAGGTGCACATGATCCTCTCCAAAGCCAAACTGAAGACATGACTCACCTTGCTGAGTATTAATTGTCCATCCCAGGCACAGCACTAAAAGAGAAAACCCATTAAAAAAGATCCTCACCACGTGACTTCTTTAGCAATAAGAATCTAAGAAGGACTAGATATTGGTGGGAACACACAGCCTCTCATGATTACCCAATCATTCCTCTTCCATATTAATGTGATGTGGGATTACCCTCTGTATGCTGTGAATACAATTGCTGTTAATAAAGAAACTGTTTTGTGTCTGCACAGAACAGAGTAGAGATAGGCAGAGAAAACTAAAACTCAATGCTGGGAGAAGGAAGGTGGAATCAGGAGATGCCATGTAGCCACCAGAGGGGAAAGGTATGAGCTGTCACCTGGAAACTTTCCAGTAGGCCACAAACCTCATGGTGAAATATAAAACAATAGAGATGGTTTAATTTAATATTTTAGAGCTTGCTAAGAATATGCTATAATGATTGGCCAAGTAGTAATTTAATTAATACAGTATCTGTATGGTTATTTCAGGAGTCTGGGTGGCTGAGAAATGAACAAGCAGCCTCCTATAACAAATTGGCACAAAAACATTGTTGAATATGTACTCATAAAACCTGGGAAAGCTTCAAAAGGACTCCTAGACATACATACATACACACACACACACACACACACACACACACACACACAAACAGAGTTTCATGCAACTTCTTGTTCTGATGGCTAAAAGCAAGCAGAGGCATGATTCCTTTAAGAGAGGTCTTCCTGATTCAGCAGTAGCAAAAAAAACCCCTCAGTTTCAAAACAGCAGTTTCCTGGTTCACCAGCACAAATGGCTCTGATTCTTTCAGGAGGTCCAGCTATGACGCATTTCAATGGGATATGTGAGCAGAGTGCTACAACTTGCTTAATTGTAACATAGACCTCCTGTGTGCCTAAAAATGGGGCTGTGAGCATGACTCTCAGAGGCAGCAAACATGTCTCCATCATGTTGGACTGGGCAGAGCAAGCAGGCATGGCCATATTTGCCCTAGCCATGCCCACCTAGCATTTTAAGAAATAGTTCTGTTCAGAAAATAATTACAGATACACAATAAAGACAGATTCAGATGAAAATGGGTCACATTGTGTTTTAAAAAATGTACGTAGGCATGAGAGAAAGAAGAAAAAGAATATAGAGAGTTATAAAAAAGTAAATTATTTAAAAAAAAACAAAGTCTTTAAAGAGACAGAGTAAACTTGTAGAAAAAGTAATAGAATAAGAATGATGAGCCATGTAAAGATGTCCACACAGAAAGTCTGGATTATGTATATTATTGTGTTTTCCTTATATTTTTTGGCTGTGAAGCAGCTATGTAGAGAGAGACATTTCATTGTATGGACGGCTAAGCTAAGCCAACATATATATTTTAAAAGTATCCTGACTTCAGAATTTGGGTCTAAAGATTTGTTGCTTTGGAAAATAGGTTCTGCTTTTGTTTTCACAGAAGATGAGAACCTGTGGATCAATTCAAGACTAATGTTATTTGGTGGATCAAGACCCCCTGAAAGGTTGCCATAAACACCCCCAAAATACTTTGACCGACAAAAAGCAGAAAGCAGTTTGGAGAGACCTATGCCCAAAATCCAAAATATTGTTTATAAATGTTTGTTTACATTTAAAGGGGGATATGCTATAGATATGAATAATTTGCTTTGGTATGGATCTTGATCTATTGATTAAAATTTAAGGTCTATTTTGTTATATTTGCTCTTGATTAAGGTATTGTGTTTGTGCAGCTCATTTTAAAATGTAATGTATAATTAAGAAACATAGGTTCATAGAGAGTCATCTATAATAATCAAGTTTATAAACATGTTAGCTAGGTTTTCTAGATGTAGAGAGATATATTTCAGATAGACAGGCATTCTTCAACCACTTCAAAGAGCTATAGAATATGGCATTTAAAATGTTTTAATAACTTAGACTTTTCAGGACAATGAGACACGTCTGCTCTTGCCAGCACTAATTACTTCAAGAGGCTGATGGGCATCAAAGAAGCTCCTTATGGAGTTGGTTAGGCATTTGGGCAAAAAACTGCTCTTGCCTGGACTGATTGATGTTATGCTGTATTAACTGGGCATGCAGGACCCACAGAGAAATGACTGCTGATCTTGCCTAAAGGTGAGATTGTCTTTCAGGGTTACTGCTTCATAAAAGAGTCTACAAGACATTTCGCAGAACACAGAAGAAAGTGACTGACAAGCTGCCAATGTAAGCAGAACTGTCTTTGAAATTTCCTGCTTCATGTAAAAGTCTGCTGGATACTATGGTCCTGTAGGCTGAAGATTGGATGCCCCAATAATACAGAAGAACTTTGTGTGACTGTCCAGGTAGCAAGATGCCTCTGTCAATTCTAGAGTTTTGGAAGTGGCTTATAATGCACTTCCTATTATCCTTTTGTTGCCTTTGATGGAGTTGAAGAATAGATAGTTATAATTATAGCTTTCCTTGGTTATTATAAAAGATAAAGTAGATACAAATATTGTAACTGTAATTCTCGTTTGGTATCTGTTTTGTAGATGTAATTTTACTATGTTAAAATTAAAACCTTCCATTTTATTTAAACAAAAAGAATAGGTGATGTGGAATTCCCCTCTGTGTGGTGTAAATAGCATTGGTTAATAAAAAAAAAACTATTTTGGGCCTGTACAGGGCAGAATAGAAGTAGGTGGGGGAAACTAAACTTAATGCTGGGAGAAAGAAGGCAAAGACAGGAGACACCATGTAGCCGCAAGAGGGGAAAGACACAAGCTGCTAGCTGGAACCTTGATGGTAGGCCATGAGCCTCATGGTAAAATATAAAATAATAGAAATGGGTTAATTTAATATGTAAGAGCTTGCTAGGAATATGTTGTAGTGATTGGCCAAGCAGTGATTTAATTAATACAGTTTATGTGTGATTATTTTGAGAGTCTGAGCAGCTGGGAAATGAACAAGCAACCTCCTATAACATTAATGTCAGAGTATAGTCCTCCTTCTTCTTGTGAAAGAACTATTAAATATCCTTAAGGTAGAGAAAGAAACTTGGCATCCCAGCTACTCAACTGAGTTACATATTCAAGTATTACTTGGGCCACAAAGTGAGTTCAAAGTCAGCCTGAAAATCTTAGTGAGATCGTGTCTCAAAACCAAAAATAAAATGGGTTTAGTTCAGAGCCTAGCCCAGTTGTTTACTTCCTCTGGCAGATGAAAGGAGCAAATATAGAGACCCACAGTCAATCACTAGGTGGAGCTCAGAGAACCCCCGAGGAGAAGAAGGATTTCAGGAGTCTGAAGGGTTGAGGACACCAAAAGAATATGGCCCACAAAATCAACTAAGCAGGGCTCATAGGGCCTCACAGAGACTGAAGCAGAAGCCTCAGAACCTGCATGGGTCTGAATAGGCCCTCTGTACATACATTACAGTTGCTTATCTTGGGGTTTTTGTGGAACTCCTAACAGTAGGAGCTGATGTGCCTCTGACTCTTTTGCCTGCCCTTAGGACTCTTTAATCCTACTAGGTTGTCTTGTCAACTCTTGATATGAGGGTTTGCTCCCAGTCTTATTGCATCCTGTTGTGCCATATTTGGTTGATATCCCTGTGAGAACTGCACTTTTCTAAAGGGACACAGCAGAGGATCTGGGGAAGACGAGGTAGGTGGGGGAAATGGGAGCGATGGAGGGAGGAAACTTCTGTCAGGATGTACTGTATGAAAGGCCCATAAGTAAAATAAAAAAATGAGCAAAAGTAAAATGAGGGCTGAATTGTATGGGAGAAAGGTTCATAAGGTCTCCACTCTTAGCTGAGAAGCTATTGAAAGTTGGTGGCTTCTGGGGAAGGAAGAGTCAATTTTCTCTAAGGGTGTGACCAGGGTCCAGCAGATGGCCCCATTTCCTTGAGTATATGAGCAGCATAAACTATGTTCATTGGATTATTGTTTGTAAAAAAGAGACACAGAGTATAAGGGGAGAGGGAATTGGTGTGGTGTTACAGGCAAGAATGGGGATGATATGATCAAAACATACTGCATGCACCTATAAAATTCTCAAAAAGATATTTTAAACATATGTAATAGCAAAAATATATTCCTCATTATGCCCATGGATAAATGCATTCCGTACCCCTCATCTGAGAAGCTTTTATTTGCAATTGATGGAGATTAACACGGAGACACATAGCTGACCAAGGGGTAGAGACTAAGTTTGCAGAATGCTCAACCTTAAAGGGAGCGTACACACCATACATCTCCTCCTCCCAAGACTCAGAAGTCATTTAGGAAGAGGTGGTGGAAAAAGCACAAAAGCCAGAAGCAGTAGATGTCTTTGGGGGACTACAGGGTGTCCTGAACACAGAGGGCAGCAGCACATATTAACTCATAGCATGCACAAGACCTGTGTATAACCAAGCCAGACAAAATCCCAGAACTGAAAGGAAATTTAGGCAAATTCTCCCTGTTTTAGCCTTGGAGCTAATGGGAATTCCTGGATGCTGGAAGAGGGAGACTCAGTTTTCTTTAAGAGTGTAGCCCCTGGAATCAGGAGTAGTGGAACACACCTTTAGCATTTGAGGAGCAGAGGCAGGTGAATCTCTGTGAGTTCCTGATTTAAGCTAGTCTCAATAGTGAGTTCTAGAACAGCCAGAGCTACACAGTAAGACAGCGTCTCTTTAAAAAAAATGAAGAAGTGCAGAAGTGCATTCTCTATTAAGTCAACCATGCTCCAGTGTTAGACCATGAATTAAAGAATATTCGGGCAGCACAGATTGGTAGTAAAGGTTTTTAGAAAAAGAGGGACACAAAGTTAAGTGGGTAGGGAAGAGGGGTCGATCTTGGAAGAGTTCAGTATGAGTCAAGTAAGGAACTCTCAAAGAACTAATAAAAGTTTCTTAAAAACAAAAGAATCTCTGAACAAGGGTACTCAATAGTATGTAACATCTGTGATCTTAAATAAAAAGAGTATTTGGATTTAGGAAATAGGATTCTGTGGTATCGTGTTTACTACTGTACTGGGCTCTGAGCTCAAGCTCCAACACTGGGGAAAAATGCTCTCAGGTCATCTTCCCTTCCAAACAGGCCCTTTCTCACTCCTTTTAAAGCTGAACTGGGCCACATGCCCCATCTCTGTTTCTAGCAATAAGTCTGCGGTGAAAACCCCAAGTAGGGGTCAGAGTGGAGAGAGTCTCCTCCCAGGGGACTCCGGAATCTGCTTGGCTGGTTTCAGGCCTGAGTGGGAAATAGACTCCCTTCCCCAAATCACCTGCCCCATCCCTCCAGTTGTCCCGGACTCACCGAGGGCCACCACCATGGCAGAATGAAGTGACATGACTCAAGCTTCAGCAGTCTGACGCAGTCTGGAGCTGAAGCCCTGCAGTGAACACAAGAAGCAGGATGTATGGGCTGGGGCTCATTACAAGGTTTCTCTATTAGTTTCCTCACATGAAGAGGAAGAGGTTTCTCCTCTGAGCTTTCTACTCTTTCCTTCAGTCACTGCCTCTTTGAGAAGGGTTCCGATTCTAAAAAGTACAGCAGGCCTCTGAGTTTGGGTGCAATTGGATTCATTCCTCAACATATTTGTCTTGCTATAAATATGTGAGACACAGAAGTATAAGATTTACACATCAGTCCTTATTGTAGAAATAAATGACCCTTGATCCTTGGGCATTTCAACACCCAAAGCTCACTTTTCCTAATGTTTAAAATGAAAATCACAAAGCCTTCCCTAAATGTTTGTTGTTATGGTATTTGGAAGAGCCTAAACAGATACTTGACGTGTTAAATATGCCCTGCTACAGATAATGGCCTTTCTTCTTAAATAATATTGGTGTCTGTGTGTGTATATGTGTGTGTGTGTGTGTGTGTGTGTGTGCTTCACAGTGTGTGTAGCAGTCAGAGGACAACTCGGCAAAGTTGGTTCTTTCATCCTACTATATAGGTCTTGGGGATGAAACTTGAGTTTTCAGGTTTGGGAGCAAGCATTTTTATCCACTGGGCAATCTCATTGACCCAGATGATATTTTTAAGATTTATTTTTATTTTATGTGCATTGGTGTCTCACCTGTCTATGTATCCGTGTGAGGATGCTGCTTCCTCTGGAATTGGAGTTGCAAACAGTTTTGAGTTGTCAGGTGGATGTTGGGAATTGAACGTGGGTCCTCTGGAAGAGCAACTAGTGCTCTTAACCATTAAATTATCTCTCCAGCCTCAGATGATATTTTTTAAAGATAACAAATATTGCCAGGAGTAGAGACATTGGATCTTTTTCATGCTCTTAACAGGAACCCAGGGCCCCAACTGCTATAAGAAAAGCTGCCTCTGAGAGAATGAGTCACAATCATTTTCAGGGACCTGAGGCCTTCCTTCCATGCCACTGATGGAAAAAATGTGTAAATCAGAGGGGGGAAAGCTCTTCCTCTGTTGAAATAGCATGAAGATTTCACAAAATAAGAAATTAAAAATAGAACCCAAGTAAGGGAATAAAAGTATGGAAGTGAGCTGTCAGCACTTATGGAATCATTGCAACACTATTCACAAGAGCTATGATGGGGAAATTGTCCAAAGAATGGCTGGACCTTCAAGAAACGGCTTGACCCAGTAAACAACCTCAGAAGGGAAGGCACTGCATTGTTCCCCTCACATGAGGTATGTTAAGTAGTCATATTCACCTGCTGCGTCCGGGTGTGTCTGGCACCGCAGAGGAGGATCTGCCTCTGTCCTACATGTGCCTCAGCCAATGCCATGGCCTGGGAGTGCCCTGCCCAGCTGCTCTCACCTGCAAAGCCAGACTTAATATGCGAAGTACAGGATGCCAAGCCCACAGCTGCCCCAGGAGGACATCATCAGTCTGGCCTCCCAGTCTGCACTGAGCAGATACCTCTGATCCCTGGGCCAAGCAGAAGGCAACTGTGGACAGCCTGAAGGGCTGGCTGGCTCAGAGACCACCAGCCTTGCTTCCAGCTCGCCAGCAAGATGTGGACAGCCCTGGTGCTGGTTTGGACTTCCTCCATGCCCTTATCTAGAAGCCATAGCGTGACTGAGGAGCCGCGACACTTAGTAGCGACCAAGGTGCGGCCGTGAAGCAAACTGTGACTAGGGACACAGGTCCAAGAACAGCCACAGTGCCGCCTGCTCCTGTCACGCCGACCACGGGGACCTGGGCAGCTATCCCGAACTCGACCAGAGTGACAGCAGAGATGACAACGCACTGGACAAGCACGAGCACTCACCAGAGAAGGCACGACGGGCAGTGTGACCTCCAGTTAGCTTACACCACCTCCATCATCAGGGCCCGCGACTGTGGGGCCATCTCCACACACCACCACTGCTGGACTTCCCTCTCACAGGACACCACATGCAGAAGTGCCAAGTACAGATGCCAGCACATCACCAAGAACAGCCACAGTGGCAACAGTGGCCCCACATACTACGACTGTTGCTGCAGGCACCATAAACACAAGCGGTTCCACAAGGACTCCGAGTCCTGCCGAAAGCACACCTACTAACACATCCACCATGAGCCCCATCGCCACTTCAGGTGCCCAAACCCAAGGTACCACCATCCAGGTGACAACAGAACAGCCAGTGCATGGCAGCTCAACACCTGGTCCTTCAAATACCACCCTGGAGCCCACCACCACTCGCTCTGTGGCTTCAACGTCCTCGGCAGTAGTGACCACCACTCAGATACAAACCAAGGAGCCAACTGCCAGCACAATGCCAGTGCCTCCTACCAGCCCGACCCCAGAGTGGAAGCCACAACCCTCATCACGCAGTCAAGCCCTGCATTATCTACCCAGGGGATAAGTGGGCCAGGCACACCCCTGACAACGGAGAGGGTGGAGACCAAAGCCACAGCTGGTACTGCCTCTGGTGGGCCAACACCCAGGAGCTCCGGGGACCACAGACTCGTGCCAGCTCAGCACCCAAGGCCAGTACCTAGTGATCACCCCTGAGCCCCTCACCCCATCCTTAGTGAACAAAATGTTGCTTCTGGTAGTGCTCGTTTTTTTGGTGACCCTGTTCATCGCAGTCCTAGCGATGTTTGCCCTGCAAGCCTATGAGAGCTATAAGAAGAAGGACTACACACAGGTGGACTACCTGATCAATGGCATGTATGCCGACTCGGACATGTGAGCCCAGAAGGCCGGCCTCCTCCGTGGCCTTCTGTTTTGTCTCAGACCAAACCAAGTGCCTCCAGATCCTTTTGGTGCAATTTTGGAACTGTGCCAGATGCGTAGACACACGTAGCTGCTGTCAGACCACTCCAGGAACAGGAAAGAGCTGCCTTTTCATAGTTATTTTTTTAAACATCACATATGCAACCGTGACCACGGTCAAGGGGGCCTGGCCCGTTGGCTGTTGGCCTGTGAGATCTTGACCAGAATTAAGATCAGTAGCTGCTCTCAAAAAAAAAAAGAAAAGAAAAAGAAAAAGAAATATAAGAAATGTATGAGAAGACTAACAAAAAGGTAGAAGAAATGAATAAATCCCTCAAATATACCCAAGAAAACCAAGAAAAAGGAATCAAACAGGTAATGGAAACAGTTCAAGACTTGAAAACTAAAAAAAAAAAAAAAGAAAAAAAACATTGCCTGTTCTCTAGATGTTTAATAGAAGCAGCCAGCTACACATATGGGCATTGCTCAATGCGTCGCAATCCACCCTCCTCAGATTAATGGTTACTCCTTTTTCCTGAGGAGTTTGGTGTTAGAGAAGACCTGTTGCTTTTCTTCACTTATCAGATATAGTTTTCTTTTAAAATAACTGAGAATAAAATAAATAAAAATTAAAATTAAAAGACTTGAAAACTGAAATGGAGGCAATGAAGAAAACACAAACCAAGGGATGGCTAGATATGGAAAATCTGGGTAAACAAACAGGAACTTCAGAGACAAATATAACTGACAGAATATGAGAGATAGAAGAAAGAATCTCAGGTGCTGAAGATACTGTAGAGGAAATAAAACAGGAGGGGGGATCAAGAAGGCTTCATCCCAGGGATGCAGGGCTGGTTCAACATACGAAAATCTATCAATGTAATCGATCATATAAATAAACTGAAAGAAAAAAATCATATGATCATTTCATTAGATGCTGAAAAAGCATTTGACAAAACTCAACATCCCTTTATGATAAAAGTATTGGAGAGATTAGGGATACAAGGGTCATACCTAAATATAATAAAAGCTATATACAGCAAGCCGACAGCTAACATCAAATTAAATGGAGAGAAACTCAAAGCCATCCCACTAAACTCAGGAACACGACAAGGCTGTCCACTCTCGCCATACCTCTTCAACATAGTGCTTGAAGTTCTAGCAATAGCAATAAGACAACATAAGGGGATCAAGGGGATTCGAATTGGAAAGGAAGAAGTTAAACTTTCGTTATTTGCAGATGATATGATAGTGTACATAAGCGACCCCCAAAACTCCACCAAAGAACTTTTACAGCTGATAAACACCTTTAGTAATGTGGCAGGATACAAGATCAACTCCAAAAAATCAGTCGCCCTCTTATACACAAAGGATATGGCAGCAGAGAGGGAAATCAGAGAAGCTTCACCTTTCACGATAGCCACAAACAGCATAAAATATCTTGGGGGTAACTCTAACCAAGGAAGTGAAAGATCTATTTGACAAGAACTTTAAGGCATTGAAGAAAGAAATTGAGGAGTATACCAGAAAATGGAAGGACCTCCCTTGCTCTTGGATTGGGAGGATCAACATAGTAAAAATGGCAATTCTACCAAAGGCAATTTATAGATTCAATGCAATCCCCATCAGGGTCCCAGCAAAATTCTTCACAGATCTTGAGAGGACAATAATCAACTTTATATGGAAAAACAAAAAACCCAGGATAGCCAAAACAATCCTATACAATAAAGGATTGTCTGGAGGCATTACCATCCCTGACTTCAAACTCTATTACAGAGCTACAGTAATGAAAACAGTGTGGTACTGGCATAAAAACAGAGAAGTCGACCAATGGAATTGTATAGAAGACCCGAATTTTAACCCACAAACCTATGAACACCTCATTTTGATAAAGGAGCCAAAAGTATACAATGGAAGAAAGAAAGCATCTTCAACAAATGGTGCTGGCACAACTGGATGTCAACCTGTAGAAGAATGAAAATACACCCATATCTATCACCATGCACAAAACTCAAGTCCAAATGGATTAAAGACCTCACTATCAGTCAGAACACATTGAACCTAATAGAAGAGAAAGTGGGAAGTACCCTACAACAGATGGGCACAGGAGATCACTTCCTATGTGTAACCCCAACAGCACAGACATTAAGGGCAACATTGAATAAATGGGACCAACTAAAACTAGGAAGCTTCTGTAAAGCAAAGGACACTGT